TGGATGGGCTTGAGGCCTTCAGTGGTCATTCTTGTTAACATTTGGTTTTTTATTTTAAGCTGTCACATTCTGGAACATTCTTCTGTCAAAAAGAAGCTTGGTGTAGCTTGGTGTTAATATAAGATTTTCAAGATAAAATACATAGCCACTTTAACTATGGAAGGAAGAAGGCAATGAACATACATTCAAAGATAATTTGTATCAGTTGTATTCAAAAGTAAGTTAGTGAGACTCTGGAGACTACTGTCACAATAACTTGGATAAATTAGGGGACTGCTCTAACTTGGACTTGGAAACACCTCTGGGAAGTTTCAAGTGAAAGGTATCATTACAGCGCACCACACTCTCTTTATCTCTGTCATCCACCTGTAGCAGCAATGAACTAGTAAGAGTCAGCAGATGGTGTAAGATGTAATTCCTTCCTTCAACTTCGTCTATACTATACTTATTAAGCCCTTCTGGAGGTCTACAACCTTGCTTATACAAATATTGACAGTAGGCCATTACTTCTTTTCTTCAATATTTTCAAATAAATAGATATTCTTTTAAGGCTGAAACAACACACTGAAAGTGATTTTTAAGAACCCACCTTAAAGATGAGAAGTTTAAAACAGAGAAGAGGAATCAGTGAAAACCAATACTTTCTCTAGCACACAAATGATGCAAATGTCTCAAAGGCATTACAACTGAAATTATTTTTGAAAATACACCTTTTAAAATATCGCATATATAAAGCAATTACATTTGTAAAGTTCCTTTCATTTGTTTGTGCTTTGGTAAAAATGTGCAGAGGTTTGGGGTGGATAGAAAAGAGGCAGTTTATGAGTAGAAATACAGTGGTTCTTAAAAAAAAACATGGGAAAGCACTCTGATTTTTGTAGCTTTATATATTTTAGAGAAGGAAACATTTGTGGAGATTGCAAAATTCACTTTGAAGAGTTTTCTCAATAGTCTTCTTTTGGAGGGAGGGAAAAGAGTGAGGTTTTCTCTCACAAACATGCCTACACTAAATAGACATTTCAGGTGCACAGATTCATGACCCATGCTTTCTCTTGCTAGCTAAATTGCCAGCTGCTAGGTGAGATGTCCCATTTAAATTCTGTAGATGGTGCTCTGGCTGCATAGCTATGTTAACTATATATTTTTTTTTTTCCACAGTTCAGTAGTAGTAATTATTTTAAACATATAAAAGTATCAGTAATAATGCAAATATATCCTCAGTAGAGGGCTTAGAAAAGAATTGAACCCCATCACCTGCAACCACAGTCATACATGTCACAGCATCCTAATATCTAGCTCCATCTTGAAACACGCAGTGCTTCTCTATCTCTACTCAAAGTGCTAAACTATTCCTGAACTGACGTGTTTCAGTGGTTGAAAGCCTTTTAATTTATGATCTAAATTTATCCCTGGCCTCTTCATTTGCTTTCACGACAATATTATCATTTAGCTTAAAATTCTTTCCTCTTTGAAGGTGCATGTCATAGATAGAACATTAGTTTATTTTTTCCTAGTAGTAGTCAATCTCTGATTTTTTAAGCTGCCTGTAGTTTATGGGCAGCTTGAATGCAGTTTCCATTCCAGACCTTAATTCCATACTGTGCAAGGAGCTGATGATCATACAACTGTTTGATAAGTCCAAAACCCAGCTGTGAAAGGAATATAGCAAAATGGGCTGACATTACCACATGTAACCTGCAACCCAGATTACAGGTTACAGTACAGGCAACTGCAAGCCTGCAGCCCAGCCCCAGCATAGGAGGACTCTGAGAAGACAGAGTTTTTCACTTTGAACTACACCCATTTCTTCCCTTCCTTAATTTCTTCAAGTCCATAAATTGTCTTTGGGCAATCTGAAGATTTCTGCATGAGATTTGCAGTGTCTACTCTGAATTTAGCCTGCTTTTCTATATATCACAGGTCATTCCTTTTCACCAAGCTAGCCATATATGAAACACAATACCTTATATTTTGCTATTTTTTTTCTTCCGGAAAGCTGTACTCTCTTGCCTGGCACAGTTCGATCTTCTGTTAAGTTACCGTTATTATTGAACTGTGTACCTAAATTCCCACTTGAATTTGTCTGCCTCTCATTGATTTTCTTTCTTTCTTCTTTAGATAAACATCCAGCATTTTATGCACCTTTGAGGTTTTTGCACACTTCAATTATGTTATTTTTCAATCTATTTTTTGATAGATTAAGCAGATTGAGATCTTAACTTTAAGAAAATTTCCCTAACTCTCAGGTCATGGTTTAGCGGCTTTGTTCGGTACCTTTCTTAATGCTTTAATTTCCTTTTAAAACTTGGACATGGGATTTGATGCAATGTCCCAGAACCGGTCTCATTAATATAATATAAAATAATAAGTGACCTTTATGCTTCTACTCACTCTTTCAATCTTTCCACACCACTGGATAACACAGTAGTGCAGTGAGAACTTTACCACAGCAATGCTGAGTTCGACATGAATTCTGAATCCTTCTTCAGACTCAACTGATTTCTTCAACTCTACCCACATTGCCAATTCATATATCTCTTAATATCCTTCCTCTGTCTGTTTTAAACTGTTCTACTTAAATGGACTGAATATGAGAAATAGGTTCTTTTCTTGCCCTCATCAATATTTATACCTCTGACAATTTTTTTTTGCAGTTCTTAATTTTAAACCATCAATGATTTTGTATTTTCTTTCCATATCATAGGTGGCAGTGTTGAACACCATTCTTACTACAACTGCCTACAGTAGCTTTTTGTCTGCAGTTTAGGATGTGGGTGCTGATCTACAGAAGCTTCATCTTGGCTGTGTTGGTCTGCTTCTTACTCTGTAACATTTATAACCCACTGTAAATGTCTTCAGCTTGATCTAACAGTTTCTGATTCAAATATCACTTTTGGTAGGTCATACACTGTCAGAGACCTGTGATTCAGGATGTTTTCCTATCTCAGCTCATGAAATTCCAGCTTGACTGTCTTCAAGGCATGATGCAAAGCTCATCTCTCCTCAGATTTTAGGTGAACACTGATTTAACAGACAGAATAAACCAAAGACAGGAATTACAGTCCTGGTGATTCTAATTTTCTTTCCATCCCTGGTTTTGTATAACAACTTACTCAAAACAAAAATTCTTACCCTAACTTTTGAAGGTGTAAATTCAACTTGTCAAAAATGATTTATTGAATACACTGTTTGACATTTTCCATTTTTTTCTTCATTTTTGTCCACTACTTTAGTTAACAAATCTCATTTTAATTGTTTGGCAAGGCTTAATTTACATTGTTAAGATGTTCAGGACACATTCAGAAAAGTGAAATAAAGTACTGCTTTAAGTCTGAAATTAGAAAATGGTTTAAATTCTTGAAACTGTTAGTAACATTTACCAGTAGCCCAGAGAAACAAAACAGAATCACTACCAGGGAAAACATTCTTCTTGGTAACTTTTCCTGGTAAAATATGAATAGACCAGAAGATTGGGAGGTTATAATCTCTCTCCAATAAAGGACTTCAGCAATGGGAAGCCTTTGCTGCCTCTACCTGTGAACAAAAATGTACAGCTTTCCTTCTCGGTAATTTAAAGTTGCATAATGACTTTATGCTAACCACAAGTCTGTTGCAGTTTACTTCTGAATGCACCACAGGATAAAAGTTTTGCTGATTTTAAATTCTTATAATACTACCTGTTAGAAAATGTATGCACAAATTCTTTAAAAAACTGCAACAGATCAGAGTAAATTCCTTCTAGAGGTACACAAAGCCATTCCTGGATTTGTGCAATAGTTGTGTATCGAGGAGGAAGCTATGTGCATTAACGCTAAAAGGAGCTAAATTCTTACTTCATGAAAGAAGTGTAACTTTCATGTAAGGTTTTTACATTATTTCCTGTGTTTACTTCTAAACAAAGGCATATTTAAGCACTTCTGAAAGAGTGAATTGGCATTAAGAGGAGACAACGAAATGGGTAAGTAAAAGAGATTCACATCCTTCTGTGACCTATATTTGACTAGAACTCAGCACAAACAGGAAAACTTCGTTATCTTTTCTGAGACTCCAAAAGCCACAAATGGTTTTAGTTGCACTGTGTATCACAGTGTTCCTCACAATTTTATTTACATATATATTTACTGACTGTATTGATTTTTCAATGTGTTAGCCAGCACCTGACTAAGAGTTATACAACAATAAATACCTTTTCTTTGGGTCCACATGGCTAATTCCAGTGCCGATACTCTTAGCATGTGCAGAGCACTCTTCAGAACGTCAGTGGGAGTTCTGCATGCATATGGAGAGGAGGCTATGGGAGATGACATTTGCCATGTGGCCCTGAGATGAAAATTTTGCCCTAACATAATTCCTCCAGTAAGTTGTTTTTTTTTTTTTCCACCACAGCAGTCACTTTTGTTTTAACAGAAAACGAACCTCTAAGTGTTAAATACCATTTCCAAGAGACTGTTTGATATGTTGTGTTATGTTTAAATATCAATATAAAACATTGGCTGAACAAAAATTGGTGATAGTAGTACTATTCTATGAAAAATCCTTACTACTTGTTTGGTTGGGGTTTTTTTCTGACCTAGGCTTCTATTACACCATACCTAGTTAAACAGACCAATCTCAGAGTAGGTTCCAACTTATGACATTCCACATGCACAGCTATTTGTGTAGATGACATTATTTAATGCTATGATAATGGATTGATTACTGTTGACTGAAAGTGTTATTGATCTCTAGAAGTCCTAAGGAAGAAGTAACAGCAACCTATAACTATGCAGATTAGCAAAATAAAATTTGCAAGTAAAATGACAGATATAAAAAGAACTTAAAGTTTCCATTTCTTTGCTACTACTATTTTTGAAGCATAAACTATTTTGAAAGGCAATCTTAGTTTTTTTATTTTCATGTTCATACAAGAATGAACTAAGTGATTGACTGTAAAAATATAAAGTTTCCCTAACAAAATCCCTAACAAAATATTTTGTTCTGTTTTTCTGTTTGTTTGGAAGCTTGGTAGCCACAAAGGAAACAGACAGTGCAAGATCTCGTAGCATGCCAATGTCGCCATCTGATTTCCTGGATAAGCTAATGGGTAGGATGTCAGGCTACGATGCAAGGATCAGACCAAATTTCAAAGGTAATTTGAAACTCAAACTTTCAGGTTTTCAGTATTTCTTCTCACAAAAATGCAGTTTCTGGAACAAATATGAAAATGAAGAAGTACATTCATTGAAAAAGGAAGTGACTCATTTTGCCTTCCTTTGCGATGACAGTTCATTTCAGTAATGCTCTGTTCCTGTCACTGTCACAGCTGCCCAAATGCAGATGTTTTGGAAATTTAGCTTATCACTAGGTTTGAATTGTCTCATATGGTTTGGTTTTGTTTTGTTTATTTTTTTTTTCTTTCCTGAAATGCTTGTTAGTGAATTCACATTCACACCTTGGACTACCATAGCCTGAAGCACTCCAGAAGACAAGTTCTGTGAAAGAGGCCAAATCCTCATACCTGCCTGATGCTAACTAAAAGGAAGAGTTTGTTAATAATATGACCATTAAAGTCAAACTCAAGTGAGCTTATCTGAGTTACCAAATCTATCACCAAATTAGATTCCTCACTCCTGTGCCCCAGTTGTGCTTTGAAATGTCAAAAGGGACCATCTTTCCTCTTGTTCCCTTCCCTGTTCTCAGTTCTCCACTGAAACTGCAGGTTCTCAATAACTGAAATTGTCTGTCTCTTGGTGTGTGCCTTTTATGCTCTTATCACAAAGGAGATTCAAAGAAGACTGAAAGTCCAAAGTTTGCAAATGCAATGATTACACCTTCCAAGGATCTTAGCACAAACCATATTGTCTAGACTCAGCTATGCTACAGTACTTAATGATTATGCAAACTATATTATTATACAAGTATACAAACTATTATACAAATACCCATTTTAACTTTTGCAGTCTGAGAAGTTTAGGTAAATTTGACTATTCATTTTTTAGAATGCAAAGAGTTCTAATAATATAGTGGAACTATATTTAACTCTATTTCTGAACCTTTAAATCAAGTTATCAGTCTTTAAATTCTCCAAAATATAATTTTTTTTTTGAAAAAAATAAGCCTATTGTGATTAAAAATTGTATTATTCTTATTTTGCCTTAGTGGCCTCCTCCTATGCCTGTCATCTTGAATCCAAGAGATTCTCTTAGCTCTCACATTTCACTATAAGGCAAATATATTTTGTTTACTACAAAAATTTTCCGTCAAGTAGACAGGCCTTCCTCCACTAAGTCATCTTTCACTGCCTTTCCATCTTAAATCTTAATCAGCACTAGATTTTATAATTTTTTGGCATCTCCAAGTCCTAAAAACTTAAGTGGTTGTGACTTTAAAGTCATTGTTATTTGATGGATTTGCCAGAATTTGCCCAGACTGATTCATAAGGACCAAGTAAGTAGTTTGTCAAATTACGTTCGCTTATTGCAACAAACTTACTACCTGTTATTTACTGCAGCTGGCAATGCTTTGATTTTAATTAGTTAGCAGTGATGATATTTCTCAAGAAATTATCAGCATGCACTGGAAATTCAAACACATCACTAAAAGATTTACAGCAGCGATCAATATCCCCAATGACTGTATGGAGTAAATCCCTTGGACTTTCCTCGCCAGAACCACTTTGAAGACTGTTCCAGGGCCTGGCTTCCTGGAGGGTTAATGTATCAAACAATATTTGCAAAGTAATGCAAAACACTATTTCTAAAATTACTTTCTTGTATGAATGGTATCTCTTAAATTATTTTTGCTCCTAATTAAAGTTACCTTGACTTGTTAAAACAGTATACTCTTTAGCATGCAAACTGCAGGTTTAACCCAAAGTACAGCTGTGCTGGGCAAAAGATGACCTCAGGCAAAGTCTAAACACTGCAGTTTTTCTTCTTTCTTCTTGTCTCCTGAAGTCTACAAACAACTGTTGAAAAATGAAGAGTATACAGTTTAGCAGTTGATTTGGGGAATGGATTTTGGAGTTTGTCATGGACACCATGCAATCACAATCTTCTGATGGGGCTACAGTGAAGAATAGGCAGATGGTTTGGATATTAGTGCATTCAATACAGTACTTCTTGAAAGTATGCTTCAGAAGACTTAAGAGCCTTGTTTTGTAACTGTTGGAATTTAAAGAGACAAAACCTAATTTGACATCATTCTTTTTCAAAAAGTGCACATTCTAAATCTTCTAGACAGCTATGCAGTTTGGATAAATCTGCCCAGAATGATTCAGATTTATCACTAGAATAAATATTTCCTTAAGTGACTTTGCCACTTTCTTGCTAGTTTTATTAGTCCTAGAACAAGTGCTGGGGCTTAATGTTTTTTTGAGTTTTTAATCTGGCAACAGTTTTAAAGAAACAGAATGAGTACTAATAAGAGAACTCAGACAATCTTTTTAAATCATTTGTTCTTCCAATAAAATTCCTATGTAGACAAGATTTTTAACTAACAATTTTATTCATAATTAATCTTGACCAATAACATATAATTATATATTTTGTCTGAGTGCTCTGCTTTTGGATAAGGAATTCTGCACATGTGTTCTTGTTCACCAGAAAGAATAGAGAAGACTTGGTATTTATTTAGCTATGGAATAAAACTGAAAATTAAGAGCTCTTGTAAAATATTTGTTCCAGTTGCAAAATAGTTTTATTTCCAGTACATCAAACCTGTAGCAAGGTGATTCTCTTACTCAGCTCTTCCACGTCCTGTTCCTGCAAATATAGGAAAGACGTCACTTTCTTTCAAATTTGGCCAAAATTATGTAATCCATGCATAAAAATTCTCATGGCCTCAAGATGTTCAGAATTAATTTGATACAGAAAAGGTGTTACATTTTTAAATGCACACAGCCCAGATTGCACATTGATAACCTATTAAGGTGGAAATCTGGGGATTTACATAGGAAATTGTGAAGTATTCCTTGCCCTGGTATTGCCAAACAGTATTCAGCAATCATTACTTTACAAATGTATTATATCAGGATTTAACTGAAAAAAATAATTTAGATAAATATGTTATTCTGATCACTTCTGGAAGCTGTTTATACATTTGGCCTTTCCAGTATTTTATGGCAATTTATGGCAATACAATCTTCATGTTTTGGAATAGTGAAAAGTATTGTTTTGTGTTTGCTTTGAATTTATTGACTATTTTACTGATTTTATTGCCATGTGACATATTGAGAAATGGAGGAAAAGGAGTACTTCCTTTTGATCTTTACAGATTTGTATGCTTATATATTGCTCCCTACTGTATCCTTTTTTTGAACGTGAAGAGTCCTGTTCTACTTAAGCTGTTTTCGTGTGGCAATATTTCATAGAACATGTGATCCTTGTCTGAATTCCTGACATCTCTTTTCTCCCTAACATATCCTTTTGAGGCAGACAGAGGAGATATTTTGAAGTATTCAAGACAAGTTAATGATCAACTTGTATGGTGGTCTATTTTTTTTTAATATATTTCTTTGCATTCTCCTAACTTTACTGATTACTGGGCATGCTGGCAGAGAACTATTTCTAATTAATCTAGCCTCACTGTCTTATGTGGAAATTATTAATTTGGAGCTCATCAGTAGGAATGCATAGTAAGGATGATTTGGCATTTGACAGACACTACATTTCATCAAATATTTTATTGCTCGATGGCTCAGTATTTTGTGATTTTTCTGCACTTCCTTGCAGGCATCTTTATCTATAACCACCCTAAATAATCTTATACCAGAAGCAAAATTATATTGCTATAACTTATTTTCTAGGTCATTAATACTGAACTGCAAAGATCCAGTGCAAATCCATGGATGAACTCACCAGCAATCACCTTGCACTCTGAGAAATGGATATTCCTAACATTAGATAACTTTAAAGCAAAAGGCCTGTAAGAGGACTGTCTCTCACTTCATCAAGATTAATAACCTTAAAAAGCCTTTGACAAAAGGTCATGTCGAAAAGTTTTTGAAACTCCAAATAAACTATTTCAAGTAATTTATTTATGTATTACAATTAAAATAAATACTTATTTAAGTTAATTAGATTGCCTTTGTTCACATGCTCATCAGCTCTCCCATAAAGCTTTGGTAGATGAGAGATGCTATTTCAGTAAAAATAATATTAACCCATATCTCTTAATCATAACAGTTCTCATGATTTCTACCAGTTTGGCTGGTACAGAGGTAAGGTTTACAAAGATAAATTTCATTGTCAGTGTTGTCCACCATTATACCTGAAGTCTGTTTTTCTTTTTATAATTCAAATTTTACTTTCTGGACATGTTACACATTTCCACTGATAACAAAACTGACACAGGTGATAGCTGACTCACAGTGATTCATATTTCCACAATTTTACAAAGTTTTTTGATAATTTCTGGTTTGATATCACCTCAGCCTGTCAGTTTGTTCCTGTTCACTTAGTCTGAAATGTCTTCTACAAATCTTTCTTCAGAATGGCTCCAGTATTTGACACAGGTAGCAGTTGGAGACAAACGCTGCTACAAAAACTTCATTTAGTTTTCCTGCTCTGACCTTCTTCACTTTTATGGATACATTTATGTCTTAATAATCTTCTCGTGACTTCACCTTCCAGATCTTGGCAGGATCCTATTTTTAAAGCCTTGCAAATAGTTGTCATTGTTAGCTTTTCTGTCTCTACTGAGTTTCAGCTCTATTTTTTTCTTCCTGTTTTTAATTCATGTTCAACCTGTCCGAGTTCCTGTGTTTGAATATGACTTCCAGTTTTAGCAGCTTCATTTATGCTTCTTTTTGACCTTGTTTTGGGAAGTTCATTTTTTCTCTCAGCACAGTATCTTTAAGTAATTGCTAAACCATTTGCAAGCTGCTTTTAACTTATCCTTTTATGCTCTTTTTAAGTAGCTGTTAACTATATTTTTATAATGCTTCCTTTGAAATTAAGTATCAGCTTGTAGTGTTTTAGGGCCTTTTATAATAGCAACTATGTTTGTTGATACAGTAAACATACACTTTAAAGCATTGTACTATTTTAAACAAGATAATATCATACCAAATTTGAAATTATGACAAGTACTACAACATGAAATCGTTTGAAAGGAAATCTGCCTTGCAAACAAATTATCTAATATAACCAATTTTCTCCCTGATGGCTTTGAGTGACTCTGCCTTTGTTCATCTCCCTGCTTTTTCTTTTTCCCTTGATCCTTTTCAGAAGTTGTCAACGTCAAGCATTTACTGAATTCTAAGAAGTACCAGATATGCTCAACAGCTCTAAATAATTAACCAAGTAACAAAGTGAAATAGTGTCAAAGTGCCTGCAAAGTGATACCTCCTTACCTGAGAATTCTGCTCCATAGGTGTAGTCTTGCATATTACAATGACTGAAGTACATGTAGTGATGTTTTGTTGCAATTTCTATACAGTACTTCAAAACAATTATTGCTGTGAGAAGAGAAATCTGGGTGTTCCAAGATGTGTTCTGTTGGCAGAATTTTTAATGGACATTCTGATTCTTCTAGTATCTAATATTGAGTTCATTGGTCACGTTAGGTTTAGCTAGTTGAAAATCATCAGCAGTGGCAGAGCAGCTTCTTGCTTCAGCAACCCTAAAAATATTACATAAGGGTTTATAAGACCAGTCCTCAAATTTCAGATATCTTTCATTATTAGCGACTGCTTACAACTGCAAAAAGAAACCAGCTTCTCCAATGCTGATCTGAATTATCGATATAAGAATATTAAGGCACAGGAGGGTGACAAAAAATCCATGTGATGCAAAATCCTTGTTTCTGCTGTATAGACTGAAATTCCAGAGAAATAATGGAGAAATTAATATGCGCTGCCACAATGCCATTTTTACAGAGTCATTCAGATAAATGATTTAAAACCTTTTCCATGAAGAGACAATTCATTTTTCAGTTATCATGACTTCTCTGTCACTACTGATACTTCACAAATGCAAGATAAAACAAAACAGTTGACTGAAGACCCAAGGTAACAGAAAATTCCATTTAAATGGTTCTTAACCATTTTTTGGATATAAGAGAAATAAGAGTAGAATCTAAGTCATTCTTTCTTATCCACATTTGTTCCTGTAAGCAGTAGAGATAAGAGCAGCAACAATGTATTTCTGTTACCAGTGATGACAGATAACATTAAAGGTAGCAGCTGCCTGGAGTGAAAAAGGTCACTTTTTCCCCTAATTGTTGTGAGAAGTGACATACATTGATCACTTAAAAACACATAAACACACATAAAAATATTTTTTACTACATATTTCAAATGGTATGCTGATTTTTTTGCATAGAATCATCTGTGTAAATTTATAATTAACTTTCTCTTGTGTTTTATTTTTTTTTCATTGATAGAACTGGCCAGTCAAGTAGTGCATCTTTGAGAAAAAGCAAAAGGAAAATTATTAGAAACCATTCAATTTTATTGTACATTAAATGAATTTTGAATGTAGCATTATTTCCTCCTAAGTCAATAAACATTGTTTCTCAATGGTTTATATTTTACAGTCATTCAATAAGTAATGATTCCGGAACAGGGACTGGTATATTTTTTTCTTTTGCAGGCCCTCCAGTTAATGTCACATGCAACATATTTATAAACAGCTTTGGATCCATTGCAGAGACAACCATGGTAAGATATTTTACCTCAAACAATGTTTAAAGTTCAAGTTAAATATGTTCAATGAGCTCAAAAGACAGGTAGGGCTTCTCTTCCCCTGGAACTAAACCAAGAAGAAAATCCACTTCTGAGAACAGAAAGTAAGAATCTTTATTTTGGCAATTGTTTTTTTCTGATAGAAAATCCATCATTGTACCATGAAACACACAAGTAAAAGTAAAGCCAAGGATCATTTTTTTTCTGTTATTCCTCCATAAGTTTTATTTGTCAGTTGTAATGAACTCATTATTTTCATTTAGATAGGTATTAGTTTCCATAGTGTTCCACCTTTTTAACCTCAAAAATGTCAATTCATTAAGTTGCTTTTCTAATAATAATTTAGGATTTCATTATATACAGTGCATATGGGGACATATACTTTATTTAAAAAGCCCTTCTTCCATCAAGCAATTTCACAGAGATAATAGAATAATTAAAATGGTGATCTGGTACATAAAATTTCATTATGAATTACAAGAGTGGGGTAAATATAAGTGGATTGCATGATTTCTGTACATACAGTTATAATTTGTCTATTAAAGAAAAGCAGAATCATAGAATCATAGAATACCAAGTTGGAAGGGACCTCAGGAATCATCCGGTCCAGCCTTGGGAAAAGCACAGGCTAGACAAGATGGCCCAGCACCCTGTCCAGCTGAATTTTAAAAGTGACCAGTGTTGTGGAATCCACCACTTCCCTGGGGAGATTATTCCAGTGGCTGATTATTCTCATTATGAAAAATTTTCCTCTTGTGTCCAACTGAAATCTCGCCAGGAGTAACTTGTACCCATTAGCACTTGTCTTTTCCATGTGACTGCTTGTAAAAAGGGAGTCTCCATCTTCTTTGTAGCCACCCTTTGAATACTAGAACATAGTGATAAGGTATCTCCTAAGCCTTCTCTTTTCAAAGCTGAATAAACTCAATTCTTATAGCCTTTCCTCACATGGCAGCCTTCCCAGTCCCTTGATCATCTTTGTGGCCCTCCTCTGGACCCTCTCCAGCCTGTCCACATCTTTTTTTATAGTGGGGACCAAAACTGAACACAACATTCCAGGAGTGGCCTGTGAAGTGCTGAGTGGGATAATGACTTCTTAATTTCTGCTGGTGGTGCTCTTGTTGATGCAGCCCAGCATCCCATTGGCTTGTTTTGCCACAACAGCACACTGGTCACTCATGTTGAGCTTGTTGTCCACCAGGATGCCCAGGTCCATTTCCACAGAGCTGCTCTCCAGCCAGATAGATCCCAGCCTATGCTGCACTCCTGGATTATATTTTCCCAGGTGCAAGACCTTATATTTGTCCTTGCTGAACTTCATAAGGTTCTTGTTAGCCCACTCATCCAGCCTATGCAGGTCTTCCTGCAAGGTGGCTCTCCCTTCTGTAGTGTTTACTTCCCCACTCAGTTTGGTATCATCATGGTGCACTTGATATCATAATCCAGATCACTTATGAAGATACTAAACAGTGTTGGACCCAATATCAATTCCTGGGGGACCCCACTTGTGACAGGCTGCCAGTTTGAAAAAAATCCATTTACCACCACCCTCTGGCTGCAGCCTGTCAGCCAGTTCCCACCCACCACACAGACCACTTGTCTAGACCGTAACACAACAGTTTATTTAGGAGGAGGCTGTGGAGAACCATATCAAAAGCCTTAGAGAAATCCAGATAGAGAACGTCCACCAATCACCTCACATCAACCGAGCAGCTTACTTTGTCTGTAGAAGGCAATCTGGTTTGTAAAGCACGATTTGCCCTTGGTGAATCCCTGCTGGGTTTTCCCAGTCACTTGCTTCATTTTATTTGTGACAGCTCCAAGGAGGATTCATTCCATAACTTTCATAGGGATTGAAGTAATACTGATAAGCCTATAATTTCCTGGATCCTTCTTTAAGACCTTCTTGTAGATGGGGGTGACGTTAACCTTCCAGTCTTCTGGGATGTCCCCCAATCTACATGACTTCTCAAAGATTACAGAGAGTGGCCTCATGACATCAGCCAGCTCTCTTAACACTCTTGGATGGAGAACGTCAGTGCCCATAGATCTGTAGGGGTCAAGCTCCTGTAATAGTTCTCATAACAGTGGGTCTGTGTTTGCATTGGCCTAGATTTTTATTCCCAAGGCCTGGGGCCCAACAGTGCTGGTAAAGACAGAGGTGGAGATAGAATACAAAAAGTCTGGAGATTTTAAGAAAAGGAGAAAGGGAGGTCAAAGTCTAAAGACAGTAAAACTAGTTATTGAACTGTGAACTGACAAAAAATAACTTGGATAATCTTACTTAACAGGTGAAGTGTATGTGATAATAACTTAGAGCACAGATTTACTCGTTACAATTTGGTGAGAGGAGATATAGGCATCCTTCCTCCATAAAAGTGCCTCACATATTTCGAAGAAAGGCAAATAAACACCTTTGGAAACAGTTACAAAGTAATTTGGGGACAGAGAGGGTTAAAATATAGAAAGATGAAGGAAGAACTATGGGATTTTGTAAAATTCAAATATAATAAATACTCTAAAATCCCAACAAATTCAGGGGTCGGGAAATATACTTGGAATGACAGATCACAAACTAAAAATAATTGGTATAGCCAAAAAAAAAAAAAAAAAAAAAAAAGTAAAGGAGTAATACTAAACAAAAGCCATCCTTCTGAATTCCCAATAAGAGCAAAAATTAGACCTTTGAATGTTGCCAAGGACCCGTAGTTAGGAAATCAACAACAAAAATTCATAAACTCAAATATTTATGCCCCCTATATCCAAAGTGATATTCACAGCTGCCTGATCTTTATCCACCTTGGAACACAGTGGTAGATGTTACTGAGAGAGGCAGATTATTTTTTTCAGGTAGAAGATTACTTTAATTTGTATTTGAGTGCCTTGTTAGTTTGAAAATCCCAAACAGATTGACATGGAATCCAAGGAGATGTATTCAGGTTCAATCAGAGGGTTAAGCAATACCCACATGATTCAAACAGTGCTCCACAGCTACTTTTTAATGGCTGGGTGGGTGAAGCTGGTGCAAAGAAGGAGACTGACCACAGGGTCAGTAAAGTGCAAAGATCCAGCAATTAGATCACTATGAAAAGGATATTTAGAAAACTGAAGTTGCTACTGCTTAAAAAAATTGTCTGGAATTTGGGAAGAGGATGTCTGAGTTCACATCTCAAGTGTGTTTTCTCTCCAAAAAAAAAAAAAAAAAAATTACAAACATTTTCTTTCAGTGCAGCTAAGTAAAATACTTTAATTTCATAATGAAATTACAGTCTGTTCTGTGTTGCCTTGAAAGCAAATTAAAACAGTTGAGAGAGAATACAACCTGATCTGTAACAAATAGTTCCAAGCAGTATGTTATAGAAAATACCAAACCTGGTCAGCGCAACAGGGTTTTTCATTCTATCGATTATATGCATTCAAAAGCTGGACAATTAAGCACAACCTTGACCTTAGGACAAATGCTGCCTTTTTGATGGTGCTAGTCTGTTTATAATGCATTCACTGATACAGTTCAAAACAAACTTTTGCTTATGGTCATCAGCTGTTGACCTATGAGAAACTTCTTTACAGAACAGAAAATGATTTTGTGTAGATAGCACTTTCGATTGTGTATTTTATTAGCTTTACTTCTACCCAACACTGAAGATTAGCATCTTCTGAACAACATGAAAATATTTCGATCTTAAATTACAATCAAAACCATCTTGCGTTATTTTACAAACTTAATTTCTGCATTGTGGAACAAAAGTCAATTCACTGCAGTTCAGTATTTTATCAATTGTCACTATTTTACCAATTTTATTTACTGTAGTCCTTGAAATTCAGGTACTTATGTCTTAATATTTATTCTAAGTCATTATGCATAAAATGACTCATTAGTACAATCTATTAGACTCAAAAAGGATTTTTATATTCTTGATAAGTACTTTTTTCCCATACTGGAAACAAAAGAGCTTAAATAAGCAACAAGTGCAAAATAAAACCTGTATATAAAAGTGTTGCTGGCATTTAAAAATACCTGCTGAATAATGGGAGATGCAAATAATCTATTAGCTTTAAATAAGACCAACTTGTCGTGGTTTAGGCCTGGTTGGCAGCCAACCACAATGCAGCAGCTCTCTCTCCCTCCCCCTCTGGCAATGAGAAGGGACAGAGAGCCAGGCTTGGGATTCTAGATAGGACTGGGATGGGGGAAAATTCCCCTTTATGGGCACGAGCAAAAGGCAGACTCGTTAGGGGAAGAAAAAAAGAACATACATTTATTACAGACACTAACAACACATAGAGTAGGACAGTGAGAAGCATTGCCACATCTCGAGAACACCTTCCCCCCACCCCTCCCTTCTTCCCGGGCTCAGCTCTGCTCCCAATATCTCTACCTCCTCCCCCAGTGGCGTAGGGGCAGGGAATGGGGGGTGCAGTCAATGCTGCCACTTCCTTCATGTTCGGTGAGGGGAGTGTCCGGCACTTGTTCCCCCTTGCTCCATCGTGGTCCCCCTGTCACAGGAGACAGTCCTCCACAAACTTTCTCCGACATGAATTCCTCCCATGGGCTGCAGCGTTCCCCACACTGCTCCGTCATGGGTCACCAACTTCCTCCGACTGGATTCCCTCCCACGGCTGCAGCCCTTCCCGAGCTGCTCTGGCGTGGGACTCCCCCACATGCTGCAATCCTCCCAGCACTGAATTACAGCAGCGGGGCTACCTTTTCCCATGAGACCCTGGCCTTCTTCGGGCACAGAACCTTGATGATCCAAGCAGGAACAACAGGCCACAAATCAATGTCTGCTCCACTGTAGATCTCCATGGGTGGCAGGGGGGGGGCCGCCCTGCCATCTCACCACAGGATACAGGGGGGTCTCTGCTCTGGAACACCTCCCCCCTCCTTTCTTCCTCCGTTCCTCCACTGACCTTGGTGTTCATGCAGCTGCAGCAACTCCTCCTCACCAGTCCCACTGCCCGTCACCACGTCCCTT